AAATATCATCGTGACCCGGGAGTATCTCACAGACTGGTCTGGTCGGCAACCGCTGCTTTTCCTACCGGCTTCGGTTCCAGAAAAGGTCAAGCTGGACCTCGACATTCCTGATCTAACGGGGACTTCCGCTAAGGGTATGTAGGCCGGTGAAATGGCGTCGAATGTGTTTATGAATCTCCTAACTAAAGCTTAGCGCGAAGACATCACCTTCGTTTCCCATCAGAACTAATCGCTTCTTCAGATTTGCTGGTTCTGAGCAACATTCCACACTACACCATTCTCCGTCTCATCCACCTTAGTTACACCATACGTTTAGTGTTTAAAGTCAGTCTAGTTTAATTTGTTTAGTCATAAATGTTCAAACTTTTAAACTTGACTCTCTCTTCTGTTGTCTCTGAGTGAATACGAAGCTGTTATCTAATCCCTGCAATAAAAAGTTCCAATCTTCTGGTTAAACAGTAACTACAGATCCATAAGGTTGATTTCATATTTCCTATGGAATCCTACAGCTTATGGTTGATTAAATAACATGTAATTTAAGTCATTACACCCCCAAGGCTAAATTCTTGGACCACTGCTCTTCAGTCTCTACATGCTCCCCCTGGGTCAGGTCATAAACAATAACAACATTACCTATCATAGCTATGTAGATGACACTCAGATCTACCTAGCTCTATCACCAAGTGACTGTGGTCCCCTAGACTCACTCTGTCAGTGTTTGGAGCAAGTTAATGACTGGATGCAGTCAAACTTCCTCCCGTTAAATGAAGACAAGACTGAAGTTCTTGCCTTTAGAAATAACAAGGATAGGATGGAGGTTATAGCTCAGCTCGGCTCCAGAGGCATAAAGACAAAGATACAGGTTAGAAATGTTGGTGCCATAATTGATTCAGATCTGAGATTTACTGGTCACATTAAGGCTGTAACTAGACCAGCATTTTATCATCTTCATCAAATAGCACGACTCAGGGGTCTCATGTCCAGACAAGACCTAGAAAAACTCATTCATGTGTTCATCTCCAGCAGGCTGGACTACGGTCTTTTGACTGACCTTCCTAAAAACAGCTGTGCAGCTCATTCAGAATGCTGCTGCTAGAGCCTTAAACAAGAAACCAAAAGAACTGAACACATCACTCCTGTTCTTACATCTCTACACTGGTACCAGTAAACTACATAACTGATTTCAAAGTACTTCTGCTAGTTCATAAATCACTCAATGGCGTTGGCCCAGCATACATGCCGGATCTCCTTTGGGTTTATACGTCCACCAGGGCTCTGAGATCCTTAGGAAACAATCAGCTGGTAGAACCCCGGGTCAGAACCAAACAGGATGAAGCTTCTTTTAGCTACTATGCTGCACACTTCCTTATGACCTCAAACATGGCCTAAAAGTAACTTTTAAATAAAAATAAAAATCCTCATGTATTCATCAGTCTTTGAACTGCTGTTTTTATACAGCATGTTCTGCACTGTGAAGCTCACCCCTTTAACTTTGTCTTTTTTATATTTTTAAATCAAAATTTAATTTGTGTGTATTTTAATTGTGCAGTCAGGTTGATTTAAATGTCCTTGCTATTCTTGCTAATTGGAAAGCCCATTTGCTATATAAATAAATCTGCCTTGCTTTACCTAGTATGAATAAATGCCTTGTGAGCTGCTTTCTGTGGGGAGAAAAAGCTCTGGTGCTCCTGTTTCAGGAAGTAGAATTTAGCCAAAGAAGTGGGGGGCAGAAAATGACAGAATCTGGAGACTTACTCACATATTTGTACATCTCGCCTCTGATTAGCTAACAGCAACCAGACACTTTCACTGCCTTCGTTTTCTCTGCTACCTTGATGTTTTATCTCCACAGATAACTCAAGCCTGAAAGAGTTCTCTCATGTTATAGAGTTGCTAATGCTAATGGTTAGCTTCAACTGGCTCTGCGCTCTGCTCTCTCCTGGCTGCAAAAATCAACACAGCCAATGTTATTCATCGTTTCAGTTTTACTGTTAGTTTTTGTCCGTGAAGCACATTGTGATCTGTGAAAAGTGTTGTATGAATGAACTACTTCTTCTGCTTTCTCGGTCAGGAGCCAAGATGGGTGAGCCCATGAACGCTAACTTACAGCGAGTTTCCCCCCACATATGTTGTTTTGGAATAGATGGAGAAGGCTTTTTTTCACATTCAGCCTGCATGTCAAACCAATCTTTTTTCATGTGACCAGTCTTATTTCCAATTATTATACATTTATTTAAACTTCTGTAGACACATTGTTACAGATAAAAATACCCTTCCATAACAGTGAGTATTGGCAAAACTAGTCAAATATGTTGCAAGTCTACACTAAGAATGGTTCAATGTCAGTAAAATGTGAATGTTAATGCAAATAAACATTTTATAAGTCACTTTTTAAGTTATGATGACATTTATTAGCACTGGTATTGGTACCTGGGATGTACTCAAATGTAAGTACTTGTAGTACTTGTAGTCAGTGCATCCCTAGTTCTTAGGTCAATATTCTAATGAATTCATTGAATTCAGGGGTGACCACAACAAATGTGCCACAGTTTTGAGAAGAAAATTAACTCAAATTAAAATAAACATTTTTTTTCTAAATTCAAGCCCAACAAGGCCCTTAATTAACATCACCCCAAAAATATGTGAAATCTCCTTTGTAAAACATGCCAGTCACTGAGGCACCGCCTAAAGATCAAAGCACGTCTTCAAAAGTTGGTCAAAAATCTATGGAAGTCTAAATGGGACACAATTCAATAAATTTAAGGAGTCAATGTGTAGATTTTACCGTTAATCCCTGGAAATATACAGTACATCAAAATTGTAAAAAAATATATTGGTGGCTTTGTACCATAAAAATCGGGTCTAAAATACATTGGAAGCGGGTCTAGCTTCTTTGGGTGATACTGTATTAGATGCCATATTTCCTTCTGGCCGGCTCGGGGTCCTGCGCCTGTTGATGACGTACAATATACGGAAGTTAAATGAGCACATTCAAAAACATTTAGGCAGTAAAAAACACAAATTCAATAACCAAACTGCTAAACTCTTTCCAAAAAATATGTGAAAGAACAGAACCGAAAAAGAAATGCTATATATTTTGACTGAGCTGTTTTGCCGTAGAATGACCACGTCATCGGCAGGCGCAGGACCCCAAATAGATCCGGAAAGTACAGCGCCAGAAAACTACAATCAACATTGCATTTTCTCAATGACCATAAAAGTCTGAATAGTCGCACCAAGGTCACATGCTTTCTGCCCCACAGGTAACATTTACCGTAATGTGTTTTTAAACTAGCGCCAGTCACGGTGATATGGTGTAAAACTACACTGAAATCAGAGGTGTGATCAAGTCACGGCTTTGAGAGTCACAAGTAAGTCACAAGTCTTTCCGGTCAAGTCTTGAGTCAAGTCTAAGTCGAAGACAATCAAGTCCAAGTTGAGTCCAAAGTCAATGATGTGGAAGTCCAAGTCAAGTCCAAGTCCTTTACTTTGAATTTTCAAGTCATAATCAAGTCATCTGTCCAACTTCAATTTAATGACGATGATAATAAATAAATTCCACAATTAAAGCTTCATTTATTTGCTCAAACAAGCAGGAACTGAAACTGATTATAAACAAAGAGCCGCTGCAGTTAGCCGAACAAGATCAAACCCAGAACGAAGGATGATTCGTGACTTTTGTCCATGTCGTGTCACTTTTGTGCTAAAATATCAAATATGCTCAAGTCATCATCAAGTCAACAGATGCAAGTCGATTCAAGTCGCAAGTCATTGGCGTTCAAGTCTGAGTCAAGTCGTAAGTCTTTATAGATTTTATCAAGTCAAGTCAGAAGTCATTAAAATAATGACTCGAGTCTGACTCGAGTCCAAGTCATGTGACTCAAGTCCACACCTCAGACTGAAATATATGTACTGTCCCCTAGTACCAGGAAACTACACACTGCCACTTAAATAAATGTAATAAAATCAATAAATTAAGGTTTTAAATGCATCCCTTGACTCTGTTCAGTACTCTCACCATGCTTTTACCACAGAGATCCGGTGTTCTGACAAAACGTCCTACCCGTAGGATAATTTTTACGGTGTTTTAGATGACACAATCCCTAACCCTAACCCAAAAAATCAAGTGTCAACGTCAATAAAAAGTACTAATACTTACTACTTACCTATTTTCCTGCAAATATGACAACGGAGTACCATTCCCTTTTTGCGTTGTGCGCATGCGCGCACATGCTCAGGAACAACGGGAAGGATGGTTTACGGGGTAGGAGTAATTCCCAGAACACCGGCTACGTTCAACCCCCACCACACTGTCCTGGTCCCAGCATGACCGTCTCTGACCACATCAGGAAGCAGCAAGGTGCTGGAAGACCACGTCACGGTGTTGATGTTGTAAGGGGTGTGTAGTGGATGCATGAGACCAGAGCTGCCACCACGCTCCATGTTCCATACCACAACATTAAATGCAATAAAAATGTAATGCATCCTCAAAATCCATCAGAGGTGTGTGCCGAATACGCTGAGGCCTAATTTAGACCTTTAAAGGTATTCCTCAGAAATGTTCTACTTGTTGTTCAGAGGCTATTTTGCATGAAAACAACTTACAAAAGAACCCTACAGATTCTATAAATATGAATTTAACCTTAAATACTCTTCTTTACATTTCCTACACTCCAGTCACACTTCAGATGCTTCTCGATCACTACAGCAAGAGGCAAGGACTTGTGAATGGATGCTGGGAGTGCATGTGAAGATCTGTTGCAGCCATCTGCTCTGCACGCCTGTGAGCTCTGCTACTACGTGAAAACAAGCCCTCGCACAAAGTGGCGTGGTTAAACGAGTTGCAGTGGGTGGGGGTGTCAACAGGAAACAGAGCACAAGGTGGGGCACTAACCAGCAACAGTGATGGATGGGAAACGGGAAGAGAGAGGTTCGGACCGCAGGTGGAGAGATGCAGGGATGGGCTGAGGAGATGAGGGATAACTAAAAGACCAACTCAC